GGGGGCTCAGGAGGAATTTGGGGTGGTGGGAGGGGGCTCAGGGATTTGGGGAGGGGGCTCAGGGGGAAATTGGGGTCCCAAAAGGAGCTGGGAGGGGTCCTGGAGAGGGGTCTCAGGTAAATTTGGGGGGGGTCTCAGATAAATTTGGGGTTCCCAGGTGAATTTGGGGGGGGGTCCCAGGTAAATTTGGGTTCCCACGTAAATTGGGGAGGGGTCTCCTGAACGCCCCCTCCCCATTTTCCAGGTCGCCATCAAGATCATCGACAAGACGCAGCTGAACCCCACCAGCCTGCAGAAGGTGGGGAGGGGTCCTGGGGGGCCCCCCGCTTTGGGGAGGGGTCCCCGAATTGTAGAGGGGGTCCCCAAATTGGGGAGGGGGTCCCCAAATTGGGGAGGGGTCTCCACCCCCCCCACTGACCCCTCCCCCCCCCCAGCTGTTTCGGGAAGTTCGGATCATGAAGGGGCTGAACCACCCCAACATCGGTGAGGGGGGGCCCCGAATTTGGGGAGGGGTCTCGGGGGTGGGGAGGGGTCCCGAAAATGGGGAGGGGTCTCCAAAATGGGGAGGGGTCACCAAATTTGGGGAGGAGTCTGGGGGTGGGGTCTGGAATTTGGGGAGGGGTTCCCGAATTTGGGGAGGGGTTCCCGAATTTGGGGAGGGGTCTGGAATTGGGGATGGGTCTAGATTTTGGGCAGGGTCCCGAATTTGGGGAGGGGTCCCGAATTGAGGAGAGGTCCCAAAATTTGGGAGAGGTCCCCAAAATGGGGAGGGGTCCGTAAAATGGGGAGAGGTCCCAAATTTGGGGAGGGGTCCCAGAATTGGGGAGGTCGGGTATCAAATTTGGGGAGGGGTCCCAGACTTTGAGGAGGGGTCAGATTTTGGGAAGGGGTCTGGAATTTGGGGGGGGTCAGAATTTGGGGAGGGGTCAGAATTTGGGGAGGGGTCAGAATTTGGGGAGGGGTCCCGCTGACCCCCCCCCAGTGAAGCTGTTCGAGGTGATCGAGACGGAGAAGACGCTGTACCTGGTGATGGAGTACGCCAGCGCAGGTGGGCACCCCAAAAATACACCTGAGCACCCCAAAATACACCTGGGCACCCCAAAATACACCTGGGCACCCCAAAAATACACCTGGGCACCCCAAAAATACACCTGAGCACCCCAAAATACACCTGGGCACCCCAAAATACACCTGGGCACCCCAAAATACACCTGGGCACCCCAAAAATACACCTGGGCACCCCAAAAATACACCTGGGCACACCTGGACACCCCAAAATACACCTGGGCACCCCAAAAATACACCTGGGCACCCCAAAAATACACCTGGGCACACCTGG